TGTCAGAGGAATCTACTAATTGCATCCTTTGGTTTCATGTATTACAAATACAGTGATTGTAAATACCTTGTTATCGCACTAGTGTTCTATTCTTTGGTCACTTAGTTTTATAACTAAACTCTATTGAATAGTTTCCAATCTCCTTTTTATTAAAAGGGAAATACACTATAGAAGAAACTTCACTAATTACATTCAAATATCATTACAAAGGTTTTAAAAAATGAATTAATAATAATCATTAAGGATAAAAATGTGAAATACTAATTTGTTCAATTTAATTAAATTATAAAGACAAAAATACATTATTATTATATTTAAATTAATGACCAATCAAAATAAATATAGAAGATTTATGTTTAACTTATCATATTATTTTTTTTATTAATTATTATAATTCACCTTTAATGTATATATGATTATACCTTTTTAAAACAAATTACTCATTATATTATTCATAGAATAATAAAAATGTAGTTTTTTTTTTCTGTATATGTCATGATTTCAGTTTTTTTTGATTCTGTATATGTCATGATTTCAGTTTTTTTTTTGAAAAAAATAAGTAACTGTTCTATTTATATATTAAAAATTACAACGGGTCAAAAATTTAAAATTAAGTTTATATACAATTAATGTAGTACTTCAACCACAAAAAAAAAATTAAAAGTTTCGGGTCAGAACTTACCTATATACAATGTATAATCTATATACAACAACAAACTTATAAATCTTTTAATTTGGAACATGCAAAAATAATTTAACCAACAATTTTTTTAAGTATCATAAAAATCTTAGATAAAAAAATTAAAAATACTTTAATTTGATCATTTCAAATAAATATTTAAAATATTTATTGCAAAAATATTTATTGCAAGCGACGAGTTAACTGTAATGTTTTTATATAATAGAATAAATTATGATTCTTATAACAGATAGCGAGAATAACTATAACTAACATAGCATATCGAAACTTTATTTTAAAATATAAAATTATGAATAAAACAAAATATAGCATGGATACTGATTTAGTAAATAGTTTACAATAGTTGGTACATTTGCAAGTACTTAATTTTGTACTTTAATACATACTATATTTATCTATTGCTATTACATGATTCCTAATTCCTAATAGAAATTTTGAAAAAAAAAAAAAAAAACCCCGGTTTTCTTAAAAGGGTCCCAAGTTCTTTTTCCTTAAAGGATTTGGTTTCATAATGCGATTAGTACTAGGGAAGCTTATTAACCTGAAAATTATCGATTATAAATGTGGTTTTGTTGATGACAAAAAAAAAAAAATATGGCTTTGTAGACCGAATAATTATAGCATCCAATTTCTTGTCAAAACAATTTGCTCTTTTCTAATAATCTCTCTTAGACGCAGAAAACAGTTAACAAATTAAGATGAATGATGTTGTTTTAGGTGTTCTTATAGGCTTAGCTATACTGGTTCCGGTGTGTATCGTGTGTGTCTGCTCTATTTGGAATACACCAACCAAAGATGAGAATCTGCCCAGTGCCGCCGTTGACTTGAAAAAGGATCAAACAAGCCCACAAAGTGTTATAAGTTTAATGGTTTCGACAGCTTCAGCCACTGATGTTTCAGCTGGAACTGGCCACCATCATCATCATCATCATCACAAAGGTGCTCATGATAAATTGATAATCCTCAAACTCACCACAAAGGTGCCCACAATAATCCTCAAAGTCATCACACAGACGCTCGTAATCCTCAAGCTCATCATAATTATCATCAAAGCCATACCACATATCATGATCATAGTAGCAGCGCTTTTTCTGGTGGCATTGATTATAGTCATATGCATACCACATATCATCATCATCATTAAAGTTTTCTATAGTTTTTGGTTACAAGAAATCAAGCTATACCAATCTGTTTATTCAAAACCTCAAACGTTTTTTTTTTTTCTTTTAATTTTTGTCTCCTTTTTTCATTCCGATTGACGAACCAATAAGTTTTTTTTTTTCAAGAGATGAGAACATAATATCACGTGGAGTTTATTATTCTGATTTATATTTAGAGGAATCACGTACACAATCTCTTTTCTTTTTCATATAAAGACTGCATGTTGTTTCTATAAGTAGCATTCGTTACGCACTATACAAACAACAAGACTCTTAAAAACATATCGCTCCTTTGTTAAGAAGAGATTAGTTAGGCCGCAGCAGATTCGTAAAGCCAAAATTTTGACTAGATAATTAAGATCTAATGTCACCACTTAATGTAGCCGTCACAATCACAACGGTGATATCCTCGACGATTTCTTGTTAATAGACGATATATCTCCCTATATATCCATCAAATAATATACGTCCAGAACCGTTCATGCTTGACTATAAAGATATTTGCATTGAAAGTGTTTGTGGGTTTGGCCCTCGTGATTCTATATAGATCGTTTGACCGTGTATTCGGCTAGTCTTGAATTGGTTCGTAGTTTTGTTGCTCAATAATAAATACTTAACCATTTAAACGTACATGGAGTCTGGCATCTATGAGATTCAACAAGACGACTCTTCGATTACTAAACCAATACGAGTAGTGTAATATTTAGCCATGGGCACGAAGCGAATATTCGGAAAATTTGTGATATTTGTGATTTGCTTCGCCTTGACCGAATAGTTGATTTTGCTATTTGCTTCGCTTCGTAAATTTTCGAGTATTCGGAACTTCGAATATTCGAATATCCGAATATTCGAATATTTTTCGTAATATTTGCGAATTACTTGCTTCGCTTCGCTTCGACCCATCTAATTTTTTTATAAACCAAAAACATATAGTACACAAATATAAAGTGCAAAATATGAGATATTAGAGGTTCTTGTTTGATATGTTTTCAAAATAAGAAGAAAATGTAACCACCGTCCATAGAATTCTCACATTTTATTTTTAATATTGATTTTTCTAATAAAGTTTTATTTGTTTAAGAACAACATTTAGCAAAAAAAACTCAACGGACCAAAATATAATAATTTGAATAATAAGCCTATAAGATATATACCCAAATCTATAAATACACATATTATATAATGATTTATATTAATATATATATATATATATATAAATATACGAAGCGAAGCGGATATTCGACACTAAGAAAATCAATATCTGTTATTTGCTTCGGTTTTTACGAATATTACATTTTCATATTTGCTTCGGTTCAATATCTTATAGATATTTGAATTTTTCGAATCAAATCGAACCGAAGCGAATCTAACGAATATTTTGCCGAAAACTAGTAATATTATTTCACAGTTGTTAATTAATGCATGCTCTAATGTTGTCAACAGACCTAGGCTTCATAGCTTATATAGTTAGATTATAAGCCTTTTTGCATGTCATGTGAGGCGTAGAATTTGGAATCAATTATCAGAATATATATATATATATATATATAATCAATGAAGAAATGCATAGACAATTATTTCTTGCATATTTCAATATAGGTTGTAATACGCGTATCCAAGATTTATCATTGAGTCGTCCTACTTTTCTATATTCGGCCAAGTCAATGGCACATTGGTACAACGTTAAGGACCTATCATGGTCCGAGTAAAGTAATCAACTTAGACGGTTACGAAACGACTGTCACGAACAATAGAGAGTGACACGTAGAGAAAGAGAGAGAGCACATTACAGTCGCCAGGTTCCATTGCGCAGTAAGCGTAACCGGTGTGTGACTCTTACCGGCTTTAGTGGCAAAAAAGAAGGATCTAGCTAGCTAGTTCCACCGTCACCACACGTGCGACGTTTTTATAAAACAACTCTTGTTTTAAGAGACAACTCATGTACATGTACTTGTTCATCACTTGTGTTGTTTTCTTATTGGTCATGTGTCTTGTTTGTTCCCATCATGAACTTTAGAAATCTTATATAAATGGTTTGACTCACTTTTAAATTATTTTCGTACACGTAGTCACGAATTTAAACTACATACTCGAGAGTCGAGATCAAACAAATTTCATATTTACATGCGGAATAATAAGAGACAAGTATTATAATTAATTCACAAAAGAACAAAAATAACCTTTTTGATCAATATGATCTGTAGAAAAGTGTAACGCTCACTATAGAAAAATCGTATGCATTAGAAACACAAAGGACATAGCGAAAAGGTAAAAGAGTTTTGATTGGTATTTCAGTTTTGTATCTTGACAGTAAGACTTTGGTGATATATTGATCAAAAGTAATCTCTAATATTTTTCACTACTACTTCAATCATCCTTGGCTATCATAGACAAAGTTCTACAGATTTCAAAAAATTACTGTAAAATAGAATGATATAAGAACTAAGAAATGACATTATCATATTGTGTTCTTTTCGTCTACTCATTATTAGAGGCAAATTTAGGTTTGGTCAAAATAAAAGCTTGAAATTAAACAACTCAATATAGCTAATTTATGGAATGCTTTGTTACAAACTTACAATTAATTGTTTCTTGGAGTGACATGTTAATTTTCGGTTTTTTTTTCCAAGGAAATACGTACATATCGTATTTTAACGCTGCCAAAAGAAATTTTTTGAAGGCAACAGCTGTATGAATTATGATTGTATAGGTTTCTATTCTTTTTCCAGTTTATGTTTTTTATATTTTACTATTTTTCTGTTATCTATGTGAAATATATTAGAAATAGTCAAATAAAATTATACATTAGTAGTAAAAGATCACAATCTAAAATCATTGATTAAACTTTTATTTTTACTATATAGTCACGTTAACCATACTTTTTTTTTTCCATTATATAGTATATACCGTCGAAAAACTCTTTTCACCAATCAGATCCAAAATTGCAATGACGTATCTAGACAACAATCACTTGTGGTAGCCTAGATTTGAGGAATAACCAATTGTTTTAAGCAATTGCATATTAAAAAAGAAAGTCAAATTCTTATTAAAAATTAAAATGAAAATTTCAATAATTAGTTTGGTGCCTTAAAATACCCCTTCATTGACAAGAACACAGATCTTCTCTTAAGTCCCACTCTTCCCTTTCTTTGCTTCTTCTCTGCTCCAAAGCCAAACTCTCTTTGGCTTTTTCTTTACACAAAACAAAATGGTCATTAAGTTCCCTAGCACTATCATTAAAACCACCTCACTCCTCTCCTTAATCCTCTATTTCCTATTAACAGCAACATCTAGTCCCAACTCGGTTTTAGCTGATCAAGATGTTGTCGACCAAGATGAAGATCCAGAGTACTACATTCTTGACGAAGCTCCCTCGATACTTTCCAATGTGACAGTTTCATCCAAAACCAGGCTACTAGTGTCCCACTACAAGAAGATCAAGAAAGGAATGAGATGCCACGTCGCGAGTTACAACATTTGCAATGGCGTAAAAGCGAACAACGGGACGAGCCTCTTGCATTGCTGCAAGAAGCATTGTCGGAATATCCTAGGAGATATGAATAACTGTGGTCGATGCGGTCACAAATGCGGTTTTGGGCAGCGTTGTTGTGGTGGAGTTTGCACTTACGTTAACTTTAACCCTAACCATTGTGGGAAATGTACGAGGAAGTGTGCGTCCGGGGTTAAATGTGAGTATGGTTATTGTGGCTATGCTTGATTTATATATATATGAAAAGTGAGCGTTATATCGTAATTTTGAGTTGTTTTTTTTTGGTTTTCTTCAAGGAAGCGTTATATTAGCATACGTACGGATTACACTTATACAAAATCTTCATGCATACGCATGTCATGATTTTGTGAGTAAGTTAATACACATATGTAAACACAAACATGATTATTTAATAAAAAAAATAAAAAAATATTATACTCTTCTATAGATTTGTCGGTTCTTTTACATTTAGAGTTGAGATTAAATTTTGATAAACAAATAGTGTTCAGAAAATTTTTTAAATGAGAAAATCGAAATTAAGCAATTCATCTTATTTTGCTATGATTATACAAAATGTAAACAAACGAAGAAATGAGAGAACAAAGAAACAAAAAATGTAAATTATGAGAAGAGAAAATGAAAGATCCTTTAAACTTCTTGCAGCTTCTTTCTAAAGATATCTGATGATTTCAACTGAAAATTTCCCCTTCTTCGTTTCATTGATCTCTCCAATCTATGATTCACAAAAAAACACAATTATCACTAAAGATTGAAACTAATCACTAACTAAACTCTTTCCTTCCAATTTTTTTTACCTTGAGTCTCCCTTTTCCGCTTACGGAGACAATATCACCGGTCTTCACTATTGTTCCGTTCTTAGTTACTGTTGCCCAATTAACCCGAACGTCCTTATTACTGCAGCCGAAGAAGATTGCTCTTTAGCTAAATGAGTGCAATGAATGATCAGTTAGAAGAAGAAAAAGTTTTCTTTTTACCTAATCAGATCAACTAGCTTTGACCGCGAAATCTTGAAACCAGCACTAGCTACTGCATCAATTCTCAACGAGGCTTCCACGGTTTTAAAGGAATTAGTCCTAATCAATAAACAAAGCAATCAAGCCAATGCAAAAACCTTTTAAACGCAAAAAGAGTGTATTTTTCTAAGGGATTGGTGCTCAAACCTAGGAGGTTCATATTCAAGAGCAAGCAAAGGTATCTTCGTACAAGTTACACCAACATTTCCAACCTATTGAATAAATATTTATTTGTACATCATAGGGTCAGACTACTGCAAAGCAAGATTTAAGTTAATGGGTTGAACAAATTAGCGAGAAAAGTTTAAACCTTGTCGAGAGCAGAAACAACAAAGTCAACTAGTTCAGGAACTATCAGGACCTGAGCTCCCTTTTCTCCCTTCAGTATCATCAAAGTCATTTAGCTAAAGAAATATGTTAAAAGGAAAGATTTTGTAGTGGAGCTGACAAGTTTGTTTTGTAGAATCAGTCAGATGATAATACCTGAATTAAGATGTCCCCAAGTTTCTCCCTGGAAATTCCCGTGCCAAGAATCGCGCCAAGGAAGTCACCGTGAGAACAAGGTTGAAAATTGAAACCTCCTGTGATACTAGAAGTTGAAAAAACCCAACATGAACACACTCAGATTTAGACAAGAAGAAAACTCAAGAAGAGAACATTCAAGACTTGTACCTTAAAGCTGCAACTATATCTGGATCATTGATTAAGACATCAGGATGTCCAATCGAGATCCTACACCTTTCAGCCTAAGACAAAAGACGATTCTTCTCAGCTTAAGTTAACATGTTCAGAGAAAGCTTTACGCTCAAAGATGAAAACCGACCTCAGGGTAACCTCCTTGAGCAACTATCTTAACATCAGCAAATTTCCCCAATAGTGAAACTGATTCTTTAACAATAGGTGGTGTGAGAAAATCTGTGTGCAGAAGTTCTCTTCTTGAAGCTGCACGTCTCGCCTATAAACAATCCTATTGAGTAATGAGATTGAAGACCTCTCCTCAGAGAAACACAGAGAACTAAGGTAGAGAACAATGGATAATACCATTTCAAGAATTTGCTTAACTTCTTTAGCAACAGCTTGGTCTGCAACTCCTTTGAGGAGAAAATCTACATCTCCCTTTATTGCTTCTGCAACGTGACATCTTCTCAAAGCTGCAATTTTTTGGACATTTCATCAGAAAAAAAATAAAAACAAAACTTTAATTAAGTCTCATACAGTTAGTTCGATTGTAAGCATCACTCTCTAAGATTAAGAAAGTTCAACTAAGAGATAAGACAAGTTCATGCCCTAAACCTCTTAATCCCACAGAAAAGTTGTAAAATTTCAACAAAAAGAATCAAATGAAGGTGGTCTTCGTAAATTAAGTTCGATGGTGAATCCAAAATCATCACTAATTTCAGACAATCAGACAAACAAAACCAAGATAAGTAATGAGGATTGAAACCTGAGTGTCGGAGAGGCAACGAAGCGGGAATGGAGAGATTTGTTATTAGGTTTATGTGATTTGTGCGGAGATAAGAAGAAGCTGCCGCTGACCGGAAAGCTTGTCTCAAGATGATCCATGGAGGAGCCAAGCTGGTGACAGCCATAGCTGTTCTCGTCTCTGAAACCTTGGTTAAGGAGAAGCCTCTACGTCCGTTAGAAGGTTTGTTGTCGCCTAATACAACTCGAACACCACACTCTGGTGTAGAAGGTTTGCTCCAAGCAAAAAAGAGCAAAAAAGCAAAACCTTTGGGAACTTTGGTAACTTCTGTTGTGTATTACATGACTGAGTTATTTTAAAGAAATAATCGAATCAGATAAGGAATATAACAACAAAACTAATTCTTGTTTCTCAAGTTTTTCAAATCACATTTGAAGCCAAAGATACTTTGTAATAAAATGGTCAGTCCACAATTTGTTTATGTAAAAATAGTAAAAAATACATGAGGTCTCTCTTCCATGTACACACATTTGAATCTACTACACAAGACAAAGAGGATGCTTTTTGATTCCTACGACTCAACTAAGTAACTACGTTTGGAGTCATTTTCATGACATTTGCATCCATGGATAGATTTCCGAGGCCCCCAAGTTGTTCTGGTTAATCATCTTGACCTGATCCTTGTGCCAGAGCTTTTCCAGAGTAACTAGGTCATGATGTGTTCGACCGAATCAGCTTCCGGATATCAAACATATCTCACCATGGAGGTAAATGTCGCTACGACTCTGAGACACAGATGTTCAGTCTACTCCATCGACAGTGAGATTATTGCCAATGTCAAATGCTTCTAAACTAACTATTAACCTTGAACTGTTTTCTCATCACTCAACTCTCCAAAGGATAGACAAAACTCTTTTGATCTTGATTTTTTTCCTCTCATCCAACGTAATAGAAGACAACAAGGAGAGCAAGCGGGAGAGCAACTGTAGCGGAGGAAACAGTCCAAACCCATAACCTATAAGCTTTTCTACGCTTTATGATAGCTTTGAGGACAGCGTCATTTCCTTTTCCGTGATGTCTACACCTAAAACTTCTCTGTTTTGGAAACACTGATTTCCCATTTAATAGTTTCTCCTTTTCTGGTTCTAATGCCTTGGTGACTAACTTTGTACTTCTGTCTACACCCAAAGAAGAAGAATTAAACGCTGCCGCCTTCTTCTTCGCTCTCTTCTCAAGTTCCTTCAGTTTCTTTTCTGCTTCTTTTTTAACTCTTATGGCAGCTTTAGCAGCAGATTTTTCATGTAGCTTCCTCTTCCTTTCCATCGCTAGCCTAGCTTTCTCTGTCTGTTCTTCTCGTTTCTTCTCTTTCAAAGTTTCTTCATCAATCTCTTCTTCCTCCTTTCCAAGCTTCTCATATACTGGGATATCAAAATCCATACTATCTTCACTCTCCTCCTCAGTACTAAACCTCTTGTGTTCTATTGCCTTTTTCCCCACTGTTTCATTTCCACTCTCAAAATCTACATCGCCTTCCGGGTCTGTAATCTGCCCATTGTGCCTCAGCTTTCTCTCATCAAGTGAAGGCAAGATTCTTTTCTTATAATCTTCCCTAAAAGCCTTTTCATTGTTCCAACGAGACATAAATTTTTCAACCTATTGAAAAGACAAGACACAAAGAATATTAAGAAAAAATGCTCAAATCTCAGAGAGACACACAGACACACTCAATAGACTGATAAAACAAACCTCGGAATTAGTGAGCTCTTCAAGATCTCTAACATTTCCAGAAGCAGCCAATTCAATGGCTCTCTTCATCACAACACGACTCTGGAAAAAAGCAGCATTCTACAAGAACATAAAACACAATATAAATAAAAAGATCCTTAACATCCAATTGATACAGAAAGCAAAAGACTTGAACACAAGGAAGAGGCGGACAACGCACCCCCTTGTCGCGTTGTATCCTCAAGATCTTAATCCTTTCGACGGCTTTGTCTCTTTGATCAAGTACACTAGCCATTTGAATATCCAACAACTCAATTTCCATCTTAATCTCACTTAACCTTTCACTCAATCTGTAAATTTTCCCTGTAACCACTTCTTGATCCTTGTTTACTTGGTCCATCTCCAGAGCCGACTGATAATGAAATATGGCATTGTATCCATCAAGTGAAGAGATCAAAGTCTTCACTGAATCAACCAGAGACAATCTCTCAGCCTACATCATTAACACACTTTATCAAAAAAAACCTTTTTCAAAATGTATAACTCAATAAAATCAAAAAGACTTAAAAAGCAATGAATCTTTACCCTTTTGGATTTCAAGCTGTTAGCAATGTGAATCCGGTCAGTGTTACAATGATAAATCTCATTATCAGCTTCATCAATCTTAGTCTTGATCTCAGGGTCATCGTAAGCGAATTGCTTAACGAAGTAAAAACAGAAACGATTTTCTCCAGACCAGTCTTCCTCAAGTAAGCTATCACCTGAAAACACAGCTTCGTCGTCTTCGTCGGTGGTGGTCACCGTCGACGACTCATACTCGTTTAACTTCCCGATAACAATTCGACGCACATCGAAGCCGTCACACAGTAAAATCGGCGCACTCATTTTGGTCCTGCTCCACGAAATAACCAAAAAGATCAAACCTTTATACCAAAACTCAACAGATTACAAGAAAACACAGAATCACGGAAACACGAGATAGCTAAAGATCAAACCTTTACATCAAAACTCAACAGATTACAAGAAAACACAGAATCACGGAAACATTACCCGGAAAGAAACAACAAATGTTCAAACAGATTCTTCTGAGAATCTTCAGGGTTTTACCTGAAGAAAAGATCTAATTTTTAGCCGAAAAAAGAACATTTAAAAAAAAAAAACAGATCTTTCGGAAATCAAGAAAGAGTGTTGTTTGATCCCATAAAAGAAGAAACTGAGGAAGAAGATTCAAGATTTCTTGTCTTTTTTTTTGTTTTGCGTTCACATTTCAATTTTATGTTTCTTGTCTCTTCTTCAAATCCATATAATACGTTTTTTTTAGTTTCTTGCCACTGAAATTTATTATTATTACTCTTTGTTAGTTGTTTGGTCAGCTCAATAAGTCATGAAACATGAGAGCTTAGTACGTACTATCAACAGGTTGAACTGCTGATCTTCGGATGCACGAGAAGTTGAGTGACGTGAGTAGTGAGTTCGTTTCCGATTATTTAGCATTTCTTGTTATCATTGTAAGGCTATATATAGCCACTGTTTTTCATTGAATGAAGTATCTCTTTCAGCTATCAAAGTATTTTATACATTTGGTATCAGAGCCATAAGAGAACAAATTGGTGTGAGAGAGCGATCAAAACAAGAGAGAAGAAATGGCGAACCCAGATAAGTTTGTGCAACCGGCCATTCCAAGATTTGATGGTCACTATGATTTCTGGGCCATGACGATGGAGAACTTTCTAAGGAGTAGAGAGATGTGGAGCTTGGTGGACGAGGGGATTCCGACGATGGCGGTCGGGACGTCACCAGCAAGTGAAGCTCAGAGAAGAGCCGTGGAAGATGCAAAGCTCAAGGATCTGAAAGTCAAGAATTTTCTGTTTCAAGCCATTGACAGAGAGATTCTTGACACAATCCTTGATAAAGAAACTTCAAAAGCAATTTGGGAGTCAATGAAGAGGAAGTATCAAGGTTCAACAAAGGTGAAACGATCACAACTCCAGGCGTTGAGAAGAGAATTCGAGTTGCTCGTTATGAAAGAAGGTGAGAAGATTGACACTTTCTTGGGGAGAACCTTGTCTGTGGTGAACAAAATGAAGACGAATGGAGAACGTGTAGAGCAGAGCACAATTGTGAGCAAGGTACTCAAATCATTAACGCCGAAGTTCAACTATGTTGTGTGCTCAATTGAAGAATCAAATGATCTGAGTACTCTAAGTGTTGATGAACTACATGGAAGTTTAATGGTTCATGAGGGAAGAATGCAAGGTCCTCAGGAGGAGGAGCATGTCTTAAAGGTGTCTCAGGAGGAGCATTCCAGTCGAGGAAGAGGAAGAGGTGGCTTCCGAGGCGGTCGTGGCAGAGGTCGAGGTAGAGCTACGCCAAACAAGGCACTTGTTGAGTGCTTTAAGTGTCACAAACTAGGACACTTTCAATACGAGTGTCCTGATTGGGAGAAGAGAGCAAATTATGCTGAAATGGAGGAGGAAGATGAACTACTCTTGATGACTCACGTTGAACTCAACAAGATGAGTAAAAAAGATGTGTGGTTTCTCGACTCGGGGTGCAGCAATCACATGACAGGAGATAAGGAGTGGTTTTGTGACTTGGAAGGCGATTTCACAAGAACTGTGAAACTTGGTAATGATACTCGGATGTCGGTGGTCGCTAAAGGAAGCATAAGAGTGCAAGTTGGGAGCATCACTCAGGTTATCTCTGATGTTTACTATGTTCCAGAACTCAGAAATAATTTGTTTAGTGTGGGGCAATTACAAGAGAGAGGTCTCGCTATTTTAATTCAAGATGGAGCTTGTAAAGTGTTTCATCCGAGTAGGGGTGTGATTATGCAGACCAATATGAGTAGCAATCGAATGTTCTATGTGCTGGCATCTCCATCAACGAAGAGCTCAATGTGCCTAAAATCTGAGGAGGTAGTGGAGAAGGAAGTTCACAAGTGGCACTGTCGATTTGGGCACTTGAACTACGATGGATTACGACTGCTAGCACATAAGGAGATGGTCATTGGTTTGCCCTCTTTGAAGCCAACGAAGGAGATATGCACTACATGCCTAACTGGAAAGCAACACAGAGCATCAATGCCAAAGAAGAGTACATGGCGAGCATCGGTGCAACTTCAGCTTGTGCACTCTGACATTTGTGGTCCTATCACACCAGCTTCACACAGCGAAAAACGGTATATTCTAAGTTTTATCGATGATTTCTCAAGAAAAACTTGGATATACTTTTTACATGAGAAATCAGAGGCATTCATGGTGTTTAAGAACTTCAAAGCCAGTGTGGAGAAGGAGATAGGAGCTCCTATCAAATGTTTAAGAACAGATCGAGGCGGTGAATTCAATTCACTTGAGTTTGGAGAATTTTGCAAGCGTGAAGGGATCAATAGGCAGTTGACTGCAGCCTATACACCGCAACAAAATGGAGTAGCCGAGAGGAAAAATCGAACTATTATGAATGCGGTCCGTTCAATGCTAAGTGAGAAACAAGTCCCGAAGATGTTCTGGTCTGAAGCAGCGAAATGGAGTGTTCATGTTCAGAATCGAAGTCCAACGTCAGCTCTTGAAAACATGACGCCAGAGGAGGCATGGAGTGGTGTGAAACCAGTGGTTGAATATTTTCGAATATTTGGGTGTATGGCGCATGTTCACATCCCAGATCAGAAGAGAAGCAAGCTTGATGATAAAAGTAAGAAGTGTGTTCTTTTGGGTGTAAGCGATGAATCCAAAGCATGGAGATTATATGATCCAGTCACTAAGAAGGTTGTGGTTAGCAAAGACGTTGTATTCGAAGAAGATAAATGCTGGGATTGGGGAAGATCTGACGAAGAAATTAAAGGAGATATTCTAGATTGGGGAGAAGAGACCGAAAACGGCGACGGAGAAGAAAGAGCTGTCAATGTTAATCAACACGAAGAAAACGATGTTCCAAGCAGCTCCAACCCACCACAATCTCCGCTGCCGTGTAACACAAGTGTTGGTGCTGTGAGGACAGTCCAGATACGGAGCACTAGGGAGAAGAGAAAACCAGGATACTTGGCTGATTATGAAACTGGGGAGGATGCACTTGATGAGGAAGAAGAACAAAGTCTTAGTGCACTCATGATGATGATGGCTGCAGAGAGTGATCCTCTAACATTTGCAGAAGCAGCGAAGCATCAGATTTGGAGAGAGGCGATGGCAAGTGAGATTGAGTCAATTGAAAAAAATCTCACATGGGAGCTTACTATTCTTCCTAAAGGTGTTAAACCAATTGGAGTCAAATGGGTTTATAAAACCAAGCTCAATGAAGATGGAGAGGTGGAGAAATACAAAGCACGGCTAGTGGCCAAGGGTTATGCGCAGAGCTATGGTGTAGACTACACAGAAGTCTTCGCTCCGGTTGCAAGACTTGATACAATCCGCACAATTCTCGGCATAGCTGCACAATCCGGTTGGGAGGTATTTCAGCTTGATGTGAAAAGTGCCTTCTTACATGGAAAGCTTGAGGAGGATGTGTACGTCAAGCAGCCGGAGGGGTACATACATAAGGGAGAAGAGGACAAGGTTTACAAACTCAAAAAGGCGCTGTATGGACTTAAGCAAGCCCCGCGTGCTTGGTATAGCCGGATTGAAGCATATTTTATGAAGGAGAAATTTGAGAGATGTCCCAGTGAACATACGTTGTTCACAAAATCAAATGGAGGTAACCTTATCATTGTGAGTCTCTATGTTGATGATTTAATATTCACTGGGAATGATAGGGATATGTGTGATGAGTTTAAAAGTTCGATGATGCTTGAGTTTGAGATGTCGGACTTGGGAAAGATGAAACACTTTCTAGGTGTGGAGGTGAAACAGAGCCCAGAGGGAATTTTTATTTGTCAGAGAAGATATGCAAGGGAGGTGCTGGCACGATTTGGCATGGACGAGAGCAATTCTGTGAAGAATCCAATCGTGCCTGGAACGAAGTTACACAGGGATGAGAATGGAGCTAAAGTTGATGAAACTGTTTTTAAACAGATGGTGGGGAGTCTTATGTATCTCACGGTAACTCGACCAGACTTGATGTATGGTGTTTGTCTGATCAGCAGGTTTATGGCAAGCCCCCGTGAATCTCATTGGATTGCAGCAAAGCGAATTTTGAGGTATTTGAGAGGCACTACTGAATTGGGAGTGTTCTACAAAAGGGGTGAAACTGGGACGAAGCTTGTGGCTTATACCGACAGTGACTACGCTGGTGACTTGGATGATCGAAGAAGCACGTCTGGATATGTATTCATGATGGCTTCGGGAGCCATATCTTGGGCATCAAAGAAACAGTCAGTTGTGGCGTTATCGACTACCGAAGCAGAGTATATAGCTGCTGCTCTGTGTGCGTGTCAATGTGTGTGGCTAAGAAGAGTCTTGGAGCAGATTGGTTTGGAAGAGAAGATGGAGACAGTGATAATGTGTGACAACAGCTCAGCCATACAATTGTCAAAAAATCCAGTTTTCCACGGCAAGAGTAAACACATTGAAGTGAGGTTTCATTATCTCAGGGACTTGGTGAATGAAGGAGTTGTGAGATTGGATCATTGTTCAACAGCAGTTCAAATTGCAGACATATTTACAAAGCCATTGAAGTTGGAGCAGTTTGAGAAGCTTCGAAGGATGCTTGGAGTGATGGACGTTTCTGAAGTAAGCAAAGCTGAGATGGCTTAGCTTAAGGGAAGGATTGTTAGTTGTTTGGTCAGCTGAATAAGTCATATGCTTTGAATTAGTCTTTAGTTTATCTTGTTGCAGAGTCAAATAAGTCCACGTCTTTAGGAGAAGTTGAGTGACGTGAGTAGTGAGTTCGTTTCCGCTTATTTAGCATTTCTTGTTATCATTGTAAGGCTATATATAGCCACTGTTTTTCATTGAATGAAGTATCTCTTTCAGCTATCAAAGTATTTTATACACTCTTATGGACGACCTAGTCTTTGTTCTGGTAAAGGAGTCAACAGTCAATACTAAATCTCATCTGAAATTAATCAAAAACTAATTGCCATTGGCCCATTGTTATATATATATTTGGAAATTTTTCTTGTTCTTGGAAGAATTTTTTTCTTTTATAACAAAGTTCAATTTCAGGTATAATATGTCCATAAAACAATTAAAAAAATAGCCCATACGGACCTTACCAAATGAGTGTATGCAATTTTGGTTTTATGAACAAGTCATATGACTTGTTCTTCTTATATAATTATTGCAATTCAACTAACACTGTTTTTAATGATCACATGTATAGTTAACAATCCTATTCGATCGGTTACTAAAACATTGAATGAATAATTAATATTATTACTCGAATACATACATGCTAAGAAAACAGAGTCATAGAGAAGAAACAGAGAAATTTTATTAAAGATTGGCAAAGTATATAAGTATAAAGAAAGAGAAATGGTAGAGTACTATATATGGTATTGGTTGAAGTGTTATTATCACAGTTTCCTAATCCGTATGTTACAATTGCATAACCCTATGGCTACGGAACATGTAACATAAATTATACATTTCCTTTTTATGAAAAAATTGCCAACATTTTTTTCGAAAAAGATGTAATCTGCTACGCTCACATCTACGAACAAACTCTATATCATCCATTCGATAAAACCTATGTAAATTAATAATATTAGGACCATGAAAATTTATTAATTTATAGAGAGATTTTCCTAATTTGGAAAGTCTTTTTAAAAAAATATTTTAAAATAAGATTTTAGCATGATAATTAGTATCTTATATAATCAGTTACAAAGAATATAATAATTATTATGTCTTGAAAGAGAATGCTAACAATTTTTGATATAGTAAAATATGTGAAATAAACTCTAACAAAAATGAATGTGTCTATATATACATATATTTTGAAAATTTTATCTAATTATTAATTTATAATATTGATGAGACCATATATTTACAAAAGATTTTCAAAAATAATATTATTTTATTATTTTATCGAAATGTGTCTAAAATTACACCGGTCCCAACTCGGGACTGGAAAAATTTATTAATTTATAGAGATTATTAATTTATCGAGTATTAATTTATAGAGGTTTTACTGTATATTATAAAGAAATATATATTTTCTACAAAATTGTTTTATTTCTTGAAGAGTTTCACAAACTATTATTCTCTCTGCATCATCTCTATATAATAATGGATTTAGTCCACACAAGAGTATTTTAACTGTCTTATGTTTTCTTCACCAAACGTATCAAACACCAAAGCAAAAGTCTCTGTTCTTCTTCTTCTTCTTCTTCCTCCTCTCTTGCACCAATACGTAGGAGGAACTCAGGTTCCAATCTCTATTCTAAGATTTGATTTTAGTAATTCTTTTGTAACTTTTTTTTTTGTTTTGTTTCTTATGAACCACGTGTGATCATATATTTTGTTTTTTGTATGTGTGGTTTTGGTGAAGAGTTGCTTGATTTGAGATTAAACTAGCTTATTTAGTCGTCTGGTTTATTAATCAACTCAGAAATTGTGATCAGAGATGTTTTAGAGGACAGGAACATTCTCTGTTTCTGAAACTAGATGCACTTGAAAAGTTATCTGAAATCTTTATTGTGTTTGAAAGGATAACTAATGTGAGTTTGAGCTGAGGATTTATAATCAGCTAAAGTTTATGTCTTTGCAGAAGAAGATTGCTAAAGAGGTTTTGATTCAGGCAAAAGTCAAGAGTTGTTCTTTTTCTTGGTGTCATCATGCTTTTGTCTCATGATCACAAATGGTATGTAATCATGGAGAAGAAATGTGTTTTCTCGTTTGTGATCACATCTCTTGTCTGCGTTGTTCTCTTTGCAACTTCCTGCAACATTGGTTTAATGTCTTCGCTTCGACCACCAACCAACGGAACTTTATCCCCTTCGGCCAAAAATGATCTGGAAGCCAACGACCAGCTCCCACGTTTTGCTTACCTTGTCTCGGGATCCAAAGGAGACCTTGAAAGCCTTTGGAGAACTCTTAGAGCATTGTACCATCCAAGAAACCAATACATTGTTCACTTGGATCTTGAATCACCCGTTGATGAGAGATCAGAGTTGGCTTCTCGCATTAAAAACGATCCTATGTATTCAAAAATAGGGAATGTGTATATGATAGCCAAAGCTAATCTTGTGACTTATACCGGACCAACAATGGTGGCGAATACCCTTCACGCTTGCGCGATTCTTCTTAAAAGAAACCCGGATTGGGACTGGTTTATCAATCTTAGTGCTTCGGATTATCCCCTCGTGACTCAAGATGGTAAAATCTTTTATCTTTTTTCTTATGTTCTTGATCTTCTTCTTGTTGGGACTGACAAACAATATTCTATGTTTGAAGATCTGCTTTATACGTTTTCAACTTTGGACCGGAACCTCAACTTTATCGAGCACACAAGTAACTTAGGCTGGAAGGAGTGAGATTTCTTCTCTCACTTCTCTGAATTCTTTTTAGGTTTTCATTAGTTGAATCTAAACTTCATTGGTGTCTCATGGTGAAGCAAGAAGCGGGCTATGCCATTAATGATTGATCCTGGACTCTATATGTTGAACAAATCAGACGTTCTTTGGGTCTCTACTAAGCGAAGTTTACCAGCTGCTTTCAAGTTATTTACTGGTCAGTACTCTTCTTCTAAACCTGAAGTTAAAAACAGATCACTCAGTTCTCTTGTTAGCAATACAGTTTGTGAAACTTGTATGTCTGTTCTTCTCCGCAGGATCAGCTTGGATGGTTCTATCGCACTCATTTGTGGAGTATATCATATGGGGCTGGGACAATCTACCAAGAACTTTACTCATGTATTACACCAATTTCGTTTCTTCTCCTGAAGGTTACTTCCATACAGCCATATGTAACGCCCCCGAATTTTCCAAAACCGTGGTGAACCATGATCTTCACTACATCTCATGGGACATGCCGCCGAAGCAGCATCCTCGCGTATTGTCCATAAGAGACATGGGAAAGATGGTTGCGAGCGGATCTGCATTTGGTAGGAAATTCAGAAGAAATGACTCAGTTTTGGATACAATCGATAAGGAACTCCTTAGGCGGATGAACGAAGACGGTTTCACTCCCGGCGGTTGGTGTGGTGGGAAACCAGAGTGCTCTGTTGTCGAAGACTTGGCTAGGATCAGACCTAGCGCAGGGGCTGAGAGGCTCAAGGGTACTGTGGATAAGTTAGTTACAGAGGCTAAATCAGGAAAGAACCAGTGTGTATAGAGAAAATCAATTCCTTGTAACTGGAGAAATGAAGCTTGGAGGAGAATATTGCAGTTCCAGTTTATATTTATACACATCACAGATTGATTGTATAATTCTTTTGAAGTGATTAACTATTACTTGTATGTTAAGTTACCCACTGGTCTCATTAGGTTTTACAATAAGTACTATACAAATACAAAGATCATATATTTTTCTATACACAAATCTTTAGTAGCAACAATGTTTTCACTTTTCCTACTATCTCCCAAAAAATTGTTTCCTATACCAATCAAACTCTGGAAAAATTACCATTATGCTCCTGAGCCACATTGGTTCAGACCATCTCCAGAATCTTGATGTTGCCGGTGGAGTTTGCAGCGACTAAGGTCGAGGACTGTGCCCGCCAGCAGACTGAGGATATGAACTGTGAGGCATCGTCTACTTCGAGATCTGACACAGGGTCTATAGTTTTGAACTTGTACGACAAAACAGGCATTGGAAATGCCTTGTGGTACACAAAAACCTGTCAAGTGAAGCACAAGAAAGTCACGCTTCTATTTTGACAACTGAGATCAAAACTTTTTTCCTTTGGCTACAAATAAGACCAAAGGTTCTTCCTTTTGCAGATTGCAATAAATTGGATCAAGATTTCTTCCTTTTTTGTATATTTTTGAAGTGAGAGTACACATACCTCATTAGTCTCCGAGCCTGTTGCTATATACCCGTCAGAGACCGATAATCCAACAAAGTTCTACACACATTGCAAGAACAGAAATGTATTTAATCTCAGAATGCAGTCTTGAAATGAAGCAAAAGACACCAAGTTCGAATAAAAAGGTACCTTTACATTAGTGTGTCCCATGAATGAGTGAAGAGGCGTTTCATTAACACCAGAAATTGACATTGACAAGTCCCATAGTTTCAGCGTATTATCCGTCGAAGAAGACACGAGTGTTGATGAATCTAAAAATCTCACATAACTCACGGTCTTGTTGTGACCAACCATTGTGCAAAGAGGAAGCTTGGGGTTCCTTAGATCATAGTAGTAAACTTTGTGATCTGCTGAACCAAATGCTAAAGACCGGCCCGAGTCTGACGGAAACTGGACACAACAGATGTTTGCCTTTGTCTTGATCGTTCCAATACTAACTCCCTGAAACAGAGGAAAATGAACTCAAACGTTAAAATACACCTCTCAAGGAACTAAATTCTTGCATTTTCAAGAAAAAGTCTTTAAATAATACGTTTTGGTTTAGTTTAGAATTTTTGCCTGATTGATACTCCAGAGCTTAACCGAACCATCATCACTACCGCTGGCTAACAATGTTGGATCTGCTGATGAAATGTCGATGGACCATACACGCTTCTCATGCTCCTTCATCTCTGTAACCAACTGGCTTCTTGCAACATCCCAAACCTATGAAATTAATCATCTTTGTTAAAAAACTTGTTTCGTATTTTTCATTGAGTAATAAGGTTGAGAGTGTTCTTCTTCTATTTCTTATTTTTAATTGCAAACTTACCTGAACCACGCCTTCAAAGTTACTTGATGCGATTTGGCTCTTAATGTAACTGTTCCAACATATACCACTGAGCTTAGACCGGCTAGCAAGTTCCACAACCGGGTAATGAATGTCCCGGCCATCTTTAATTATCGACTCACATTCAAATATCTTAATTTTCTTGTTGACACCAGCCGTGGCAAAAAACTCTCCATCACGGTCAAACCCAATTGCGCAAACAAGGTTAGACGAGTTCAACAAATCTCCTTGCTTCAAATCCGCTTTCACTTGTAGCTTAGTAAAAGATAAATACTTGCACAAACCCTCGAGGAATGGATCAATCCACCCGCCCTGTCTAGAATCGTTGATAGGATCTTTTGGTGGTTGTGCCGGGCTGCTCACTGAACTTTTTTCTGAACTCCTACCATTACTACTCAAAGCCGAATAATATCTAGCCAATGGTTTTTCAGCAGCAGCAGCAGCCTTGATTTGTCTGTATCGCATTGCAAAGTAAACTGATTCCAGTTTCTTTAAATTCTTCATTAACCGAGAGCTTTCAAGAAGTGTGCTTTCTAGAGTATCAGATTCTTCATCAATGGAATTATCATCATTTTCTTCCTCTGCTGCAGCAGTCTCAACTCCTTTTCTAATCCGTTTTCTTGAGGCTAAGAATGAACGAATATCACTCCCTTTTTGCTGTAAAACCAACTGTCGCTTTACGACTTGATCAATATCAGAAGAAAGAAGCGATATCGTATCCCGCAATTTGTCTGCAGCATCTTGTTTTCTCTGTTGAATCAGCAACAAGAACTCGAGCAGTAACTCCTGTTCCTCTATTCCATCCCGTAGTTCCATGGCAGCTTCACGTTCTTCCAAATTCTCTCTAGGTTCGTTGATAAACTCACTTTGTAGCAACTCACTGCACCAGGAAAGACAAAGAAGCAAATACTTTTTAAGGACAAAACTTTTCCCTGTGAAACTAAAACATCAGAGAGAGAATCAATCACCTCATCGATGGTCTATAGCTAGGCTCAGGGTGCAGTAACCACAAGCAAAAGGAAGCTTCTTTTGGCCACTTGAGCAATATCTGAGGTGGAAGAACACGATGCCTTAAACTAGACATAGTTCTTGACTTATCTTCTCTTGAGGAGACAGGGCAAAATAGCTGCAGAACAACTAAGATTTATCAAGAAATCAAAGCAGCTAAGAACATAAATCAATCTTCTTACGCACAAACCTCAAAGAGAAGAACACCAAGACGGTAAACATCAGAAGCACAGTTACTCGGTGAACCATTATCTTCTTCAGGACTTGTATACCAACTCATCTCCATAGCTAATATCTGTTTCATAGGGAAAGGTTGCTTCTCTGATCCCTTGCTTCGTCTCTCTGACAGAACATCTTCTTTCCTCGAGCTACCAATGTCTCGAGACTTTGTTGTTATTTCCTCATCAGACCCGGAATCCGAACAAGAAGCGGATTCAATAAAGGAAACATGGTTAAAGGAAGACATAACGAAACAAGAAGGCCTAACATTATGAACAACAAAGCCTTGAGAGTGAGCTGCATTCACAATCTCAACGATTTGTCTGAAAACGTGAAAACACTCAAACGCATCAACGGATCGGTCAGGATTGTCTAACCACTGACGCAAGCTAACATCTTCACATTCCAAAGCTCTCACAATAGAGCCATCATCAAGTCCCAAGTTATCGTCTTTATGTGAACCAAGTAAGCTTCTGACATAATCAATGTGAGACAAAGACTTAGAACCATCCGTAAAAAACTCTGAAACCCCAGAGGTATTGTTTAATCCTCTGGAATTAGATTCTGAAGAACCCTTCATTTGATTTTTTTTTGATTAAATCATCCACCAAAAAGCTAACCAGAATTTACCAAAGTATCAGATAACTCCACTGGATTCTTCATAACTCTCATCCATTCATGATCCCATCCCAAAAACCCTAAGTGAGAATCGAAAAAGAAAAAAGCAAAGAAATTTAGAACGAAAGTTAAGATTTTTAAAAGACCCTTTGACAGAAAACACCAAAATCAGATATAAAAATGCAACCTTTGATTAGATAAAAAGACAAACACGAGTAAGCTTCTTGACCACTAGACGCTACATAGAAGCAATAAAAGAAAAGCAAAAGAAGAAGATAAGAAGAAGTAAGTACTTGAGAGACTAAGAGGCACCGAAGAAAATGATCTTTTTTGAGAACCACACATCGCAAAACACACACAAACACAGTTCGTAGAAAAAAGCAATAACCAAAGATTCACAAAATTAAATTCTCAGCAAAAAAGCAAAATCTAATTTTTGGGCCTACGATTTTAACTTCACAGTGAGGGTTTTATTGGTTTTTATCTTTTTTTAGCTTTTTCTTAGCTAATCTTCTTCACTTCTCTTTCCACGCAAGCAACGTGGTGAAACGACGACCTAGGAATCGCAAAGAACGTAAAAGCTTAAACCTTTGTTTCGTATCTTTGGTTTTGGGACAAATATGTAAATATATTGAAACAATAGGGTCAAAGTGAAAATTATGGGTGTGGTCCAAATCATATTATATACGTTTTTGTAAGGCTATATTAGGAATTAAAAGTAAAATGAAAATGGCATTGAAGAAGCCTTACAAATGTGTACCTAGAAGAAGAAGAAGAAAAAATGATTGTGTACTTGGAAAAAACAAAATGGTTTGTAATTGTAATATTATTGGTTTTGGTGAAGGGAAGAGAATGTATTGGTGGGAGCATTTAGTGACCAGAGGGGAGTTTCTATTTCCATGGAAATGGACTGAGACAAGTCGACAGCTCTAAGATGGTAAACAACAAAATCACATGCGTCCGAACACGCCACGTGTTTTATCTATTTCTATGATTCAGATAACGTAGCTCCACATATTCAAAATATTAAAGAATTAGTATATGCAAATGTATTAGAGACTTTACAAAGATTTATATTTTCGAATCATTCCGACATATCATTAGAAAAATTTGGTCATTGCGGCGTTAGTCTAAGGTTGAGCTTTTGGTTATGTTTGGATTCTGGAATATCTCAGAAAAAACATTATTGGAGGTATCTTACGGAGTTAAGATACTCATGTTCTTGTAAAAGAAGTATCTTATCTTATATACAAAACATTATGCTAAAATATCCCTTTTTAATTATAAAAGACTACCAATAAAAATATTTTTAGCCCCCTAAAATATCCTAATAATGTTGCCTTCGTCTAATGTATATATAGTGCATGAGTTGCGAAAGACTTCGACAGCCTCAAAATGAAATATATTTGGGTTTAAGCAATATATTTTTGACCTCAACAAGTTTCATGTAGTCGAAATTCACAAGTTTGA